AAAGCATAGTAAAGCATATAGAGCACTAACTACAGGAACACCACGGGTTCATGGAATCAGAAACTCTACAGCTCTAATTCACAACAGGCCACGAGGAAGTATTATACATATTAGTTACAACACAAAACCTACTGTCCAGGCTAACCCTTAAGTTCTCCGGGCCGAACCGGTAGGGCTTTGATGTCTGGTGACGGTTGATAGGATATTGAGATCAGCTTAGACCTATACTTCTCATCGCCATCACCATTTATACCTTCAACCACATTTGCAATGTTTGAATCTTCGGGTGAATGTCCCAAGGCAAGATCCTTCCCGGCCACAGGGTAAGAGATGGCTATTAGTGACTCCCGAGTCATGTCCTCTGAAGCGTCCTTGCCAGGTTCTTCCTTATCCATAAAATGGAAATCTTCTTCCTGTGGATGTCACAAAGATCAAATTGGAAAGATATCGAGATAGAATACAAGCAGGCAAACATATAGATACACCCCGTGTGCCATAAGAATCCAAGCATTCAATCAAGCATCAGTTTAATTCAGTCTGGAGTCATTCGACATGCATTTAATTCACACTTTATTGGTTTTCTGTTTCACTGGAACAGACAGCAATCCAGCTACTTTGTTGAATTCTTCAATCAATCTTCTTGTTTAGTCCATAACAACAACATTAACCAGTAAATCAGGGTTCAAATTTCTGAGTAGTTCCTTTATTCACACAACAAATGACATCCAGCAACAACATTAGAGATTGTATCTAAAGGTTTAACAGCAGACTATAGAATCACAACAATGAGATCCTAAGATTTGTCCCAAGGTTGAGGACGACTTTCTCATAGCTATTAAGTAATTAAAAGATGGCTCTTCTAGCCAAAGAAAAGAACATGTGACATGCTATATAGCAGATTCTAAGTAGCAATATCTAGAATTCGAGATTTGGACGTGTCCGAGTTTAATAAGATACATGTTTAGTGATTGCGCTGAAGTTTAAGAGCCATTTTCTTCTCCAGCCCAAGTTTCTTTGAAAAACTATCCATTGCAGGACTTTCTCCGACAAACAAAAGAGATATTTGTCCAAGCAAATTTTATTTTAAGCCAAGAAAGATATGGTATATCATACTTCCGGAAATACTAAGTTACCCAAAATNATTGCAGGACTTTCTCCGACAAACAAAAGAGATATTTGTCCAAGCAAATTTTATTTTAAGCCAAGAAAGATATGGTATATCATACTTCCGGAAATACTAAGTTACCCAAAATGCTTTCTGGCACACACATGTACCCTCCTACTCCTCTTGGGAATAATACAAATGCGCGGTGCCAATATGATCNATGCTTTCTGGCACACACATGTACCCTCCTACTCCTCTTGGGAATAATACAAATGCACGGTGCCAATATGGGCTTCAACAACATTTATTCCATTCCTTCTCTCATTTCCATTTTATCTTAGTTTAGAAAAGAGAGATTAAAAACTAAAGCACATGATTCTCTGCAACTACGGGGCAAAAGCGCATATCAATCCACTATGTCACCCCACGACCAGCATAGGAACTATATGAAGCACTTGACTCGGCATAATATAAGCAACATAAGGAAATTCATCATATCTTTCAATCCTCCCATCTTAAAAGTCAAAGAGATAATTTGCATTTTGACTTCTCCCAACATGAATTAATCCGACTCGCCAAAAATTCCTTCCTCGTGAACCACTAATAGCTCTTGTAAAAATGCAGTGGTGAATATATCCAAACATAGGGCTAAGCTCCATGAAACTCTTGCAAAATGACCAGCACTTCCTCTTAGAACTTCCCAACAGCCAAGTATTGGATATTAGGTAGAAAACATCTTTAAATTGATGTAGCACTATAGGAATTGCAATCAAAATGATTAATCTTTTGTAAAACCCGGGAAAATTTAAAATTTTATTGTGAAAGGTAAAATGGTGATTAGCCGTTACGATACAAGTCGAGAACCCCAATTTTTTTAAAACTCGGATGACGAAATTGACTTTACCGTTGGAATCGTCTCACGAAATCTAGTTATCCAGTCAAATTTCGTTGAATTCTAAGACAGTCAAATTTCGCGTTTTATAATATGATCGGGCATCTCGTGACTAAAATAAACGCGATCGAATTTTAATTGCGAAATACAAAAAATAATTTAAAATTAGTTCAAATAAAATATTTTAAAGGACGTGAGGCGCAACGAGGGCCAAGTTCTATGGGGTACAAATAGGGAGAAAAATCAAAATCTTCTCCCCATTTACACCAGATTTTCCGATAAAGAGAGAAAGAAAGAAGAGAGAGAAACTCAAGGAAATCTCAAACTTCTTCTTGCGATCTAGGGCAAACCATTTGTCGAATCGCTTCGGGTCAATAACAAGAGTTTTCTATGCAACGAGAGCTACGTCTACGTACTTAAAATTGCGGATTTCACCGAAATCTCAAGAACAAAATTTTAGGAAATCAAGGTTTAAAGCCTGAGTTGGGTTTTTTGGAGCTTTTTCTACGTGTATTATGCTTCAAGAGGTAGGTTTCCTTTCCTAACTAGGTTTATTTCCAACCTAGAGTTGAAATATAAAATAGATAGAGTGTTAGAGATGTAATCTCATATTTGGCACATACCTATTGTAGTTGAAATGAGAAAAATGGGTATAAGAATGGTTAAAATTAATTATTGTATAAATTGAATTTTGGTGAAATTGTTCATTGAAATTTCAAGATGAATGTGTTGATCAGGCATGCTATGTGTTTACATTTATGCCTTAAAAGTTTTTGATAAAATACTTATGTTGATTAAGTATTTTATTTGCATTGAATATGTTATAACATACTTGGGATTGATGTTGTGAAATGTTATATATGCCTTATGATATATTCACATTGAAGACTTGAAAATATTGTGGAAATTAAATATTGTTCATAATATACTTATAATATATTGAACATGATATAAAATTGTAATTGTACATTATATTATATATGCACGGAAACTATCACATTCGTGGACATGTGAAATGGGTGTGGGTGTGTACATAGTTTTGATCAAACACAATTATTGGTGGATGATACGTGGAATCGGAAAAGTTGGACCAAGGTTCAACTGAGTCGCATGGGTTGCATTGAAAATAAGGGTTAGGATTAGCAAAAAGGGCTAAATTCTCACTCGGGTGCAAGACCTAGTGATTTGGATACGCACTCCATTGGTATTAAGTCCATAAAGTGTGTCAACATACGCAAAGCTATTAGTGGAAGTCTATAAATGCCGTGTCGGTTAGATACCCATTGGTGGAAGTCCATAAATATCCACCCCAAGAAGGACCCAGGATCTATAAATGGTCATTGAATGTGTAATATCAATGACGGGGACTTGGAATGTCTAGATACATATACATAGCATTGCATATGTTATAGGAGCCGGTGAAGGCTCGGGTTGTATTACATGTGTGAGTCTCACTTCATAACATGGGAAAGCATAATGACATTCATTTCTTGAAGTTGTATGTTCTTAAATGAATGTTTGTTTGATTGTTGAATTACATATGAACATTTCATATACATCTAGGTTGGGGAGTAGGNGCAATTGAAATATAGGGGACCAAAATGAGACAAACCTCTTACTTTGGAGACCTCAAATATAATTAACTCTTTATTTTATATAAAATAAGTTGTTTTGGAAACAAAGCCCAAAAATAAAAAACAAAAATAGATGTTCCAAGAAATACCAGAAACAGAAACAACACGCACAAAGGTTGGAAGAATTAATGAGATCTAGGTTTCAAATCTTCTTAGTAGCAAAACACAACTTTTTTTTTATTGAAATGTAAAAACCCACTTCATCACCTCTCTCTCCTCTCCATCACTTATCTCTCTTTCTCTCTACTCTCCTCTCTTTCTGTATCAAACCAGACGAACCATCACTGCTTCTACCTCCATCTCAATCCTGCCTCCATACTACACCTCCATCGCTACCCTTCTCTCTCCACGCTGCCTCCATCGTTGTGGGTGTGTAGATCTACATCGATGTGTGTGTATCAAATTTCTATGTCTGTGTGTGTGTGTGATTTCTGTGTATGTAATTTTTGGGTGTGTGCATATGTGATTTCTGTGTGTACGTGTGTGTGCATGCGATTTTTGTGTGTGTGGTGTGATTTTGAGTTGATTTTTGTAGCAAGAAATAATATAAAGCTCAATATTGAAACATAATTTGAAGTGGTTATTAAACATGTTTTTTATTTTTATNTGTGTGTGTGATTTTTGTGTGTGTGCATGTGATTTTTGTGTGTGTGGTGTGATTTTGAGTTGATTTTTGTAGCAAGAAATAATATAAAGCTCAATATTGAAACATAATTTGAAGTGGTTATTAAACATGTTTTTTATTTTTATTTTTATTTTTATAATTTGGTAAATATAAATGATAATCAAACATGTTTTTTGTTTTCAATGTTTACCACAAAACAAAAATTATCTCTATCTTTAATTTTTTTGAAAACGTGAAAACAAAAATATTACCAAACGACCCATAAGTTTTTGGCTACAAGATAACCGTCTAGGTATTGTGATGTGAAATAATTAATGATAATTAGGAACTTACTATAAAATTGAAACAAATGTAGAAAATTTTAGACTTGGAAAGGTANATCTAGGTATTGTGATGAGAAATAATTAATGATACTTAGGAACTTACTATAAAATTGAAACAAATGTAGAAAATTTTAGACTTGGAAAGGAATATGATGATAAACATGAATTGCTTAAGAATGAGGATCCTACTACAATCAGTATCTACAGGAATCAATGGGAGCACATGGCTTTGATAAAATAATTTATTTACTCAAGTACCTTTCAAGCGAAGATCGTTTGAGCATGAAAATCACACCATTGTCAAGAATTCATCTTTTGATCAAAAGAAGCTACTTAATTTTANTATATGATGATAAACATGAATTGCTTAAGAATGAGGATCCTACTACAATCAGTATCTACAGGAATCAATGGGAGCATATGGCTTTGATAAAATAATTTATTTACTCAAGTACCTTTCAAGCGAAGATCGTTTGAGCATGAAAATCACACCATTGTCAAGAATTCATCTTTTGATCAGAAGAAGCTACTTAATTTTACTATTTCCTACCATCTAACTATTGCAAATTTAGTACTTCAAAATTTCTTACTCTACGGCATGAGACAAATTCTTAAATGGATTATCAAATAACCTCCATATTGCAGTTGAATAATCTTAGATCTACACTCAAAGACTTCATCAATAAGCTTCCATGTTAGTTAGTCAACCAAGATTTCAATCTAGGCTCGACATCAGCTAAAATTGAACAACATACACAAGTATGAAACATAATCATCTTTTTCACAATCTTGCATTAACCTACACTTAAGGAATGCTACTTCTAAAGATTAAATTTGCTAACNGCTCAAAGACTTCATCAATAAGCTTACATGTTAGTTAGTCAACCAAGATTTCAATCTAGGCTCGACATCAGCTAAAATTGAACAACATACAAAAGTATGAAACATAATCATCTTTTTCACAATCTTGCATTAACCTACACTTAAGGAATGCTACTTCTAAAGATTAAATTTGCTAACCTGTTGTGCCCATTAGCAACAAAGTTTAAACATCTTTACTTACACCCTAAAGCTTACCTTGATAAAACAACGGGGTGGTCCTAACAAGGTGTTGCCTTAAAGAGGCACATTCAGCAAGGGTTAAACCTCCTCAAGCAAGACCAACATAAAATACACAAGTCGGTGTCCTCATTAAAGCCTTACATCAAGCTTAATCCATTTTTTAGATTTTAACAACAAATGGCTGTTACCTATGGCTATCATTCAGTATCAATAAAATAACTTAAGGGCTTATGATATCTGACTGTAATATACCAAAAATCATGATAATTATATCCTCTCCGATGATATATACACAGGTCTACATGTGCCAAATTATCTGGCTATCTGCATCCATCCAAGCATGAACCTCATGTTACTCAATTTATCATCATAATAACTCACAAGAACCGCTCCAATCAATGGCGGTTCTCCAGAACCTCCAANTCCATCCAAGCATGAACCTCATGTTACTCAATTTACCATCATAATAACTCACAAGAACCGCTCCAATCAATGGCGGTTCTCCAGAACCTCCAACCTACAACCAAGTAGTTGCTACTTCTTCTTCAGTAAAAATCCTGACATGCCCAGCATTATATATCATTATGATTAACAGAATCTAGAAAAATTAATTACATTTTACTATCTTTATTTTGGTCTATCCATTTTTTCATCCGAACGGTAGTTTTTGGCTACAAAGGTACAATTTGGAATTCGGAGTTCATGACCAAACTGAAAGGAAGAGGAAAAAAATTCGAATTTAAAAGGGTGGATATCGATTAGAATAAATCAAAAACAGGTTTGGAGGTTGAAAAACGGCTGTGATAAACCGAGACGAATCATCTCTTTTCACCTTCTTATTCAATTAAGATATCAACATCCAGAGGAACCCGGAATCAGATTGGAAGAACAGTTGATTTATTAGGGTGAATTCAGTAAGTCGCTTAGGCTGCTTAGCTACTTTCCATCACCATGGGAGCATTTGACCGTGATAAAAAAACAATAATCTCTTAAATTCCCATGATCAACCCAACAATTCCGCGTTGAAAGATAATTAATACACCCACAGCAGGGGAAGAAATCATATAACCGATGACCCATCAAAGGCTTCACTATGTTGCTATGTTTGAAATTCAAACATAATAGCACAAAACAATCCCAATTACGAAACAATTCAATCATTATTGAATCCGTCTAACTGTCCTCGATCCAAGAAAATCAAAGGCAGGTCAAAAACGAGTCAACGATCACGTAAAGTATTAATCATGGATGATGGATACGACATCAATTGAAACAAACTAATTCGTAAAATTACACAATAACAATTGAAATTCAACCATAATATCATAAATTTACTGTCCACTAGCATCACAAAACAATCCCAATCATGCAACAATCCAAAACGTTATCGATCCGTTTACCTATACTCGATCCAAGAAAATCAAAAGCAGGTCCTCAATTGATACAAACTAATTCGTTAATTCCACAAACCCTAGTTATTAAGAAAGTAAAAAGACGCATGAGCTTTACCTGTTGCGATTTTCTTGAAAGTTCTTGCTGTCCTTTTGGGTGTGTTAGCCTGTCAAGGTATGGAGCTTCAACGGCTCTATCTGCTCGTATATATATATATATATATTGGGAGAGCGGACTAGTCAACTGTTGATTGGTCTGTGACAGTCACAAACTAACAATTTCAAAATTATACGATAATGGCGGTTGGCACGGGGTGGGAGGAGTGGGTCAATTTTATTCTAGACAGATTTACATTGAGACTTCCCGCAGAGTAAACATCAGGCACTGGTAAAGTTGTAATTAGAGGTTATAAATGGATGAGTTGCATTGGTTGAGTTTGGTGTAAAATGAATTTAATTTATTTTTAATTTGTTTAAAAAATGGATTATGATAGCTTAGATCATAATTAATTAGGTTAAATTCATTAACATATAAAATAATTAAAACTCTAAATATAAATATATATTAATATCTATAATATAAAATATGACAAGTTTCAATAAATTCGTTCAACTGTCTCAAATAGAGTCATCTAACGATTATCAATATTCTTCTCAAAATTATTCACATTACACCCCACCTTCAGACACGATTTATCCCTATTATCAAATAAAACACACCTTAATACACAAAAAATGCAAACTAATATACCAAAATATGTACATGCACACAATAACACACCAAAACATATAAACACACACTAATACCCAAAAACACACACACACACACTAATATACCAAAACACACGCACATGTTAATGGTCGAGGTGGGATCTAGGTTCGAGGTATGTGTGTGTTTTTTAGTGTATTAATATGTGTATATTTTTTTGGTATATTAATATGTGTATTTAATTTTATTGCTTTTGTTATTTAATAGAAATATAAATACTAAACTCAATGGATATTCATTTGTAATTCATCTTAACTCGTTTAATTAAAATGAGTGTTATTATCCAATCCATTTAGATTCGTGCATTAATTAACATAGGTATTCAACCCGTTTATTTATGGACGAATTAAGCAAATTAGTTAATAATGAATTACGATTATCACTTCTAATTATAATTTACCTTTAGTCATAAGATCAATTCAATTAAACCTAAGAGTCAACGGTCACGATTGAACTCAAAATGTCAAAGTTCTCGATTTGTCCTAAATTCAATCCGACACTGTTGCGCTACCATTACAGTTTAATTTCTGTTCACCAAACTTAAAAAGATGGGCAACAATCTAAATGTTTTTTAAGTATGTGTATTGTGACGTGTTAAAAGTAAATTGGGTAATTAGACGGAGACAGATATGAGTTGTAAATTCATATTATGAGTTTAAAATTTGATAATTCTCTTTTTATTAGATATGAGAGATTTATTTCTCATGAATTCTATAGTTTTTATATGAATGATCTATTTTTTGGTCAGACCATGGATCGATTTTTATCCAAATTAGTTAGATATGCCTTGATATTTTATTTTTTACAAAAATTTCGAATTCGAATCTGTTATCTTATATTTTTCACGGATTCAAATTTGAATATACTTATACCAAATTCGATGATGATCTGATTCAAAATAGGTATATATTTCTACATAACTATTAAAAAAATTAAATGATTATTTGAAGAAATCTAGTTACAATATGTATGTAATTTGTTAGATTTTAGTTAAATTAAGTTATTTGAGTCGGGTCTGACCGAATTTCGAATTTTTAACAACTTTAGATATTGTGGACCATAGAAATAAAATCCGTCAATAACCATATCGAATTTGGATCAAACTTTTAAAATTGGACTAAACAAAATTCGATCAGCTGACTAGACTAACGAATAAGTGGTATCGTATAGCACTTCATATAATGCCAAATCAAAAAAACAAAAAATAAAAAATAAAAAAATAATCGATACAATACTAATTAATAGGCATATTGCGTGAGTTATTTGTGTGTCATTTTAATTCAACTTATTTATCATTTGTGCTAGTAACTATCGTTATTTTTAGGTTGGCATCAAAATTTCAAGTTGAGATTGTACATGTCTTACAAACATTTCATACCAAAACTTGAATGCCCTCATGACTCCCTTAAGAGAGAAGGGTTGGATTGGATCACCCCATCATTATCTGGTAACCCATTGGATAACATTAATATGGTTGGTGGAAGTCAATTATTTTGAAAAGTTTATCCACAAAAATAGTTCATTTTATAGACAACTTCTTTGACTTGTGTATAACTATATTAATGATAATTATAGTCAACTTTACTTCTGCATAATCATTATATTTAATATATATATAATTTTCTATATTTTCACTTTATTATTCTAATATAAACATTATGGATAACATAGAGGACTAGTAAGGATTGATTTTCTATTCCTTTTTGCCACACATAAATATGATAGCATTTTTGCGTGGTCTTTTGCGTGCTTTATCTTTATATAATAATAAATATTACACATTTCTTATTACGTTATTGGTCAGATTTTATAATTCAAAGTTGCACATTATCCCTTTTCTGTAACAAAATGGAGGATGAATTTTTTGTATTTTTTTAGATTTTTTTATGGTACTTGTGAAAAGCCATGAGTCAACCAAGTCAAATTCTAATTTACAAACCAAAGGACGATTCAATCGATTCGATTAAAATCAATCTAAAAATTAAAACCACTTTTAATTTTTTGGGTAATGAAAAAAAAAATTTAAATTAATAACTATAGCACATTGAATTGTAAGAACGTCTCATTGGGTTGTAACATTCATGCTACAAAATTGTCCTTTGGTACAACAATATTTTCAGCGATTTTTCAAAGAGAACTTATGAAAAAAAACCTTAATCTTACGCTTGCTACTAGAATAGTCTTATTATTAACTTTTCTTAACGAAGTCTTTTTTTTTGGTATGTAAATTAGGTTCAACAATTCTTTATTTAACAAAAATCAAAACATGGTGTGTGATTCACTTTGTAGAAAATGTTAGATTGGAAGCATTTTTCAAAAAATAATATTATTATGGTAAAATACTCTAATTTTCCTATGATTTTGTTATGTTTGGTTTTATCATATTAATTATAAAATTAATAAATGTTGGGGATGACAATTTGAAAATATAGTGTGAACAAATTCAATTACAAAATCCAAATACTAGATTTTGAAAATTATGTACTAATGCCATCAATAACATAATCTAATACTCAGATTTTCATAATTGAAAAATCAGATTTCTTAGTTGATATATTTTTTTGAGTGAAATAATAAATTTAATCTCACACACCAAAAATAAACAACAATTTGTTGCCATTAACAACAATTCATGTGAGAAGATGCTTTGCCATTAACCAAAATTTTTTCTATTTTCATCGTCTTATGAATCATTTTAATTTGAATTTATATCAATCGAAAAATGAAAGAATAATAAAAATTATTTTGACATCAATTTGATATTTTATTGAATAAATTGGAATAAATATGATCTAATGAACTCAATTTAAGATTTAACAAGTTATAAATATTTTTGTATTAATCTTTAAGTTTTTTAAATATTACTCGCGTTGAACTCGTTAATATATACATTATCCAAAAAAGTAATTGGAAAAAAAAAAAATCCGAAAAGACAAGCAAATAGACACTTCCCAAAAGGTGCTTATTACAAAAATGTAACGCAAGTTACGTACGCCTTTAACAGCAGTTACTCTCTCCCTCTCTCTCTTCACGTGCTCATCATCGACCTATCATGTGATTTCCTCTGCTCTGAGTGCTCTAATCATGACCCCATGTACGGCCCACTCTCTCTCACTCACTCACCTGTAAAACTCTCCTCGGTCAGCTCACTACTTCTCATTGACCCCAAAATCTACTTCTCAGTTTGATTCTCAACACCTAGTTAGGGTTTAATTCAACTGAGAAAGAAAGACTCCCTGGGTGTGTGTACTTCGTCTATGTAGCTTACAAACATGGGGTGTTTTCAGTCCAAAACTGCGAACGTTCAGTCCCCAGACCAAGAACCTTCACAACCGGAGTCTAAACCAGATCCGGGTATCTCTCCATTTCTCCATTTCTTCACTTTTTTATGTACATAAATGCATTCACAAGTCTCTCTGTGTTTGTGTATTTAAGTAGTATTTTCTTGATTGATTTGTTGATTTTATGCTCTATTTTGATCTTGGTGTCACTTCAATTCTTCCCTTGTATGCATATATGTACACAGGCACTCATATCTGTCTCCGCCTGTATGTGCGTGTATTGATTTTTCTTTTTTCTGATTTTGATGAAGTTCATTGAATGTTGAAATGTGGGTATGACCTTTTTTTTCATTATATCTATGCATATATGCATTCACATATGTGTGTGGATTCATGTATTTTTTTCTTGATTGATTCGTTGATTGAATGCTCTATTTGATATTGGTATCACTTCATTTCTTCCCTTGTGGCCGTATATGTGTACATTCACATTTGGGTGTGTGTGTTTCTGTGAAGTGATATGCCAATAGGTTCTGTGTTGTCTTTTCATTTTGAAATGCTAATTGAATGTTGGTGATGTTGGTGAAGCTAATGCAGACCAATTGGATCAAGATCAAGTGCCTTCATTCAAGGAATTCAGTCTTACAGACCTGCGAGCTGCAACAAATGGTTTCAGTAGTGAATTGATAGTTTCTGAGAGTGGGGAGAAAGCCCCCAATGTTGTTTACAGAGGGAAGCTTCGAAGCAATCGGCTGGTTGCCATTAAGCGCTTCTCAAAGCAGTCGTGGCCTGACCCACAACAGTTTGTGGTTATTCTTTTTTCCCCTATTGAAATTATTGTCATGGATTACTGTGATGCACGGTTTCATTAGAAACCATTAATGAAAATTATTATAAGGTTAAGATCTACATTTCATGTTTGCAACTTTGGTAATTGCTGCATCCTGCATAAGCATGCTATACATCATGGCACTAACTGCAGCTGGCTTATATTAGACGATACTCAAAAAGTACGAATTAATTGCATTTATGAAGTTGATACGATTCTTCAAAATGTACTACTTATATACATTCATAAAGTCAGTACAGCTTCCCAAAAGCAAGAGCGAGCCAAATTATCCAAGTCCCTTCCCAATCCGGTCTGCAAATACCTCTTTTTGCTACGATGTCAAACTTATACACCAAAGGACTTTTACCATTACAAGTATTTTATAAAGTGGATATACAGTGAAAATACATAACAATGCATCAACACAAGTACCACATTTCAGTTTCTATGGCACAAAGCTCCCCATCTCTGCTTGCCTTCCACATGAAATGTTCGGAATAAGCAAGACCGCCAGTTGAGAAAAATAATATGTAAGCTCTGCCAAAAATTCATGGACTCTGGGACACACATCAAAGATGGCACACAATTTGAGTCACGCGTATATCCAAGGTGCATGTGCACTAGATGCCATGGTGTATTTAAAGTGTCTACAAATTCCACTCTACCAAATTATTATCTAAGTGTAAGGGCCATTACTGAATAACACACTGTTGTTGGGGCTTGCACCAAATGCCTTTGACCACAATTAGTGATGTGGGGCCCTCACCTATGGTGACCAACACAATCCTTTCAATCTTGGCCATGTTTAGAGGTTTTCACTCAAGGTAAACACCATCCCTGCTTAGGTTTTAACGATTATACATACATATGGCATTTCTTTTTCTTTCCACACCATTTTACCCAACCATTACTGCACTATTCTTATCCGAGTACAATCTCACAGTTCACATCATTCCCAATTGTGCAGACAACAAGAATCAGCCAATTCATGTTCCATTTCAGCATTCTCAATTTGACTCTGCCATGATATATACATGCAATTCCATTTATGGTATGAGAGGGTCCTACAAGCTTAATCAGCTTTTGTCTGCATGTTTGATAACCAAGGCTACATCCTGAATGTAAGATGATTCGCATGCAGCCAGAGTGAAATAATTCATATTCCATCACATGCAGTACATGGTGGGTAGTAGGAAACACAATAGCAACCAAGATTTGTAACACGCACCAAACATAAATCCATGAGCTTCATAACAAGGAGATTATTCCTCCAAACCTCTAAGTGAGAGATGATGAGGTAATTTTCACACTGGTAGCCATATGTGTATTGGATTATGTGTGGTTAATCCTTCTTCTAGTTCAACCTCAAAAAAAAGCAAGAAAAGATGGACTACAGAGATAGAGAGGGACTAGTTGATGCACTATTGTTTCTACTGTGTTCAAATGAGAGAAAGGCACCAACTGGTGCTTATATAGTTATCTATCCTCCTAACTAAACATTCCTCCCCTGGTCTTTTTCTTGAATCAAATGGATCATTCCCATGAAATACGTGACATGCAAGCCTTTGTGAAACTTGCACAAAGATCCCTTAGTTGGTGGGAAGATTTGTAGGTCCGGTTGAGTCGGATGAAGCACTGGACAGTGGGTCTCGACAGACTTGACAACCAGTTGATACAGGATCACTAGAAATGTTGCTGCAGAAGGAACCAGATGGAGGATCAGACAAAATGTCAGTCGGCAGCATCCTGTGCTGCTCAAGATCCGTGGATCCAGATAATGAATTGTATGATTCATATTTAATTTCACTCAACTGGATTTCCAGAACTCTGCTGAAACCTCAAACCAGTAAGTTTCGGATCATAGACCAAACTATTATTGGTCAACCTGAACATGATATCAGAAGTTGTCCAGCCCAAATCCAATTTGCATTGGACGATCTACTGGACAGAGCAATCCGTGTTTCGGTCTACCAACTCCCCTATGGTCTCTACAAGTTTAACTCCAGTGGCTTCTGGATGAAGGCAGGATGGAACCTGCTCAAATTCCGGTCGGCCGGTTTTTCCCTTACTTCTATGTGCCCTCTACAAAATGACCGCCTCAGATTCAGTGTTTGTTGTATGATGTGTTCAAAGACTCTACAAGTGTGTAGGCACATGTCTACCTAAATAATCATGTCAGAATGATTACTATTAGTACTTTAGAGTAATAAATTCTGTCTTGCCTGTCAGAGTCAGAGCATATTTCACTGTTTTGGCTTGTTGTTGTTGATTGTTTGTTTATATAAATTTCTTGTTGGATAGTTTGGTTAATTTTTCTGTTGATAACCATGTTCATCACTTTTTGCATTGTTACCATTGATTCGATTCATTGAACTGCAAAATTTCAGTTATGTCAGTTGTGCTACTGATTGATTTATTTCGTTGACTTTGTTTTTCCTTTCACATAGTATTTTGCTCTTTCAGGTTGTTGTTTTACGTTATAATAAATGATGTCAATTGCAGGCGGAAGCTGCTGGGGTTGGCAAAGTACGACATAAGAGATTGGTTAATCTGATTGGATGTTGTGCTGAGGGAGATGAGCGTCTATTGGTGGCAGAATACATGCTCAATGATACTCTCTCAAAGCATCTCTTTCATTGTATGATTTCTCCATCTTTCCCATACTCCTAGATTCCTATACCAACTGAAGAGAGTGTTCAGTCCTTGTTGACAATATTCTTCACTATTACTCTTATTTATATATTTCATATTAAAAGAAAAGAATTATTATCAAGCACCTAACCAATGCTGCTGAATTTCTTATAGTCAGGAGAACATGCACATTAAGCCTTTTAGTTAATGGGACTGTGATGTTGCACACAGAGTACTGATATTCCGTGTCTCCCATTTTNATATTAAAAGAAAAGAATTATTATCAAGCACCTAACCAATGCTGCTGAAATTCTTATAGTCAGGAGAACATGCACATTAAGCCTTTTAGTTAATGGGACTGTGATGTTGCACACAGAGTACTGATATTCCGTGTTGTGGGGGCCCTTCATTTTCAGGTTGCATTTTTCATAATGATGCATGTACTTCATGATGCGACCTGGCCAGGACCTAGGTGCTATTTATTGTTCCATGTGTGCAACAGATCATGCATTGGTCTATTCAACCTTAGAATTTAAAGAATTAAGGGGTCCGAGTTGATNCTCCCATTTTGTGGGGGCCCTTCATTTTCAGGTTGCATTTTTCATAATGATGCATGTACTTCATGATGCGACATGGCCAGGACCTAGGTGCTATTTATTGTTCCATGTGTGCAACATATCATGCATTGGTCTATTCAACCTTAGAATTTAAAGAATTAAGGGGTCCGAGTTGATCCCATTAATCATATTTAATCTTAATTGCATAGTAGAATTGCATGTAACTCTAAATTCTAAAACTTGTTCAGGTTTGTAGGTCTAGTTGTATCTCTTAACTCTCCAGTCAAGCTTGGATCTTAAATAATACTTTCTCACCAAGTGTAGGGGTGTTAATCGAGTTGAATTCGAGCCTAATTGTTCGACTATTTACACATAAACGAGCCTAAAAAAATGTTCATGCTTGACTTGTTTACCAGCCCTAACCAAGTGTCCTTGGCTTCCACACTTNCTGAATTCGAGCCTAATTGTTCGACTATTTACACATAAACGAGCCTAAAAACATGTTCATGCTTGACTTGTTTACCAGCCCTAACCAAGTGTCCTTGGCTTCCACACTTTTAGTCCTTTATATAGTAAAAAAAATGCTTATTGGGTTCCTCTGTTATTTTTATTGTTGTGGTGTAGGGGATAAACAGCCATTGCCATGGGACATGCGTGTGAGAATTGCTCACCACATAGCTCAAGCTCTCGATCATTGCAATCTCGAGAACCGGAAGATCTATCATGATTTAAATGCGTACAGAGTTCTTTTTGATGAGGTACAAATTTAAATATTTAAAGAGAGTAAATCTGTTTGGAACCTTAGCAGTTTTTTGCTTCAAATTTTCTGAATTTGAATGCATGGGCAATACATGGTGACATGTGTTGCATAACTGTTTTATGTTTTACATACAGTGCTTACTTGTTATATTGATTTGGCAACAGTGCTGAAGCCAGGAATCAAAACTAGGGCCTGAAACAGGAATGGAACAAAATAAAGTATAGGATTCAGTGGGGATTACAATGAAAAGATCTATATTTCAAGGGGGTCAACTTAATAGAATCTTGAACATTAATCTAAAAATTAATGGGTCCACATGCAATTTTCAAAGCTCGAGTTTGGGGCTCTTGGTCCTAAGTTGGCTTCACCACTGATTGGCAAGAAGTGGGAAAGTGAAACTTGTGCTTCTCCACAGAAACATGATGATGTTAACTATCTTATAAATTCTTGAANTGGTCCTAAAGTGGCTTCACCACTGATTGGCAAGAAGTGGGAAAGTGAAACTTGTGCTTCTCCACAGAAACATGATGATGTTAACTATCTTATAAATTCTTGAAATGAAATCCTATAGTTAAAATTTTGACCATAATTTTTCCCTTTTATTTGTTTTACAGTAATTTTTTTTGGTGTTGATTGGACTTATCTGGATGTTGCTTAATCTGAGTTGTTCTCATGCCAGGAGGGTGACCCCAGATTATCTAGTTTCGGTCTAATGAAAAACAGTAGAGATGGGAAGAGTTATAGCACCAATCTGGCCTATACTCCACCTGAGTTTCTGCGTACAGGTACATATATTTCACATTTTTTAATGGATCATGCTTCTATGCTCTTGATTATTTTGAGAATTTGAATATGTCTAAGATTCGTTTTCATGAAATGATCTATTTGAGTTTTTACGTGGATTTTCTTTTTGTATTACTACTGGAAGCTCAAGAGTACATTTTGTGTAAAATTTTAAATGAGGAAAATAGCCTTGTGTAAGATGTCAGTTCTCTATGGTACACAAGCTCTACTTCCCACATTGGGCAAGTAGGATCTAATGCCCAAAGAATGACCCGAGCATCTGACATATAATTCTGCAATCATGGATTCATTGATGATGGCAATGATCTGTAAATTAGCAAGGGTTTAACTATTATTTTTTCTCTTCACACTTGCATGGATATCAACAAAAATTCCAAAAAGGAGAGTTTTTTTTTTTACTGTTTGGTCAGTTTATGTAATCATATTTGCAGAAAAATGGACACCAAGTAATACAAGTTGTCAACTAAAAAAGGAGAAATTTTTTCTGGAGTCCGATCATACGCAAATTTCTCCCCACTTCAGATTTTTTTTCCCCTTATTTTTCCTTCAAATTCTTAAGGCACCCATGTAGTCAGCCACAGTTAACAATTGCTTTACCCTTTGGAACTTCTGGGTTATCTGTATGAAAACTCCACTTCTTAGGTCCAATTTATAGCCTTATGTGAAGTAGCAAAAATGAAGATGTCAGTAAAATAGAATGTAGCAAAACAAGGTGAAACATTGTCTTGGTGTCTGATGCACATTCTGGGTTTACAGTCTTTACAGCAAAGGACAATAATTATTTTCCTCATCATGTGGGTTGTGATGTCTCTGCTATGGTATTTTATGTATTTATTTAAGATGGATATATTATTTTGAGCTCGGATAAAGTTTTTTGTTCTGCTTATCTCCAGAGAAAATTGCTCATGATAATAAAACTTTGTTCGTGTTTTGTCTATCCTGATAAGTGAGAATCTTGAATGTGATGTAATATTAAGGAACTTGGTGAGCTTTAGCTTCAAATTCTAATAATCATCCTTGAATGCAATTTTAGTGTATGGAAATGGTGGCCACAATGCAAAATAGTACCCCTGAAGATGTTTTACTAGTCTTCCCCTCCCGTGTGATAAATGAGCAGTCTCCGGTAGACCTTCTTCCGTGTAAGCTCTGATTGCAAATTTCTTTTTTCTTTTTGGTCCAGATAGAAGTGGGTTAATGTAGGCTTTGAGTTTTAATGACAGTTAACATGGGCAGTAGAAAGAAGAATAAATAAAAATAAAAGTTGAGCTTTCTCAGTCCTAGCTCAGTAAAACAAGAAGAGTTACACTTCTCGGTCCTGGGAATAGAACCTCACACAAAAATATGTATTGAATCTCATCCGAAGTTACACCAAGTTGCTACTTGTTTTATCAATTGATTTCCTGCTCATAAGACAGTTCAGGCTGTATTTTTTATCTTAATGTATGCTTTCACCTCATTGATTTGAATGCTTAATTTTTGCAGGCAGGGTCATTGCTGAGAGTGTGATCTATAGTTATGGAACTGTTCTGCTGGACCTTTTGAGTGGAAAGCATATCCCTCCAAGTCATGTACTATATGTTTCTATAAATGCACAAGTCACCGGTTCTTCAATCTATTTAGTCTTGTTTCTTTTTTAATACTCTTATTCTGTTTTTTAGTTCTATATTTATGTTGTAAGCTATCATGGTGAATTTCCACGATATTGCTATTAACTTGCATAGAACTAACATTTTTTTGTATGTATTGCGAATTTGATATGCCTTTTAAGTTTTAATACTTAATTCAGTCGAACTAGGTATATTTGCCGCTTGAGGGCCAAAGAGGTGCCTATGATGAGATGGGCTATGTTCAGGACAATATTTTGGCCTCAAACGGTATTCCGACCAGCGAATCCAAACCTGAATTCATTATATGGTTGAACTGCTCATGATATTAAGGCTCTGAGTTGAATGTGGGCTCCACTAACTTTGATAAAACATGCAATTGATTATGACCAAATCATTGTAGCATCTCTATAACCTGGCTGTGTACTAAATACTGGTTTCTGGGAAAACAGTAGAATGGGACTTATAACCATAGTGTGCAACTATACCCTTTGGATTCTGATGGTCAGGTTTAGTCTTTGGTGCTCTTGGGCCTTACAATTCTGCCAGTCAAGCTGCCCTTCTCGATCCTAAAGCGTGCGTGTAATGTTGCCTTTAACAAACAAATCCCAGTGTGCAGCTGCATAGTCTTCAGCCCTTCTTTGAGGAAGGAAAGGTGAACTTTGGCCTCATTTTTGACATAATTACACTTGCTTGCCATATTGAGGACTTCACTTATTCTCATGTGGACTCTACAAAATAGAAAATTCGTGCCCAATAAGGTGAAGACTTTGATATGAAGAGAGTAGCTCAGAGCGAGCCAAGAGCCCCATAACTTTGTTCTATAAGAAGTTTTACTATTTAATTGAGAATATGGTTTCGTCAATACTGTATAAGTATCAATATTTTCATGCGCTAGTTTTGATAGACTTCCAAAAGGTCAATATCTATAAATTTGAGTGAGGTGAAATACACAAATCTACAAATATATTTGTGGCATGCCGCAGTTTCAGCAAGTGAAAGCATCATGCAAGGTAATTTACCTCCTGTAAATTGACCCTTAAACATTTAGGCTGTACCTGTGAGATGCTTTCAGTAGATTTAAATGCATTCATATAGAAAATAGCTAGTGAAATATAGGGCCAAGGTTTTAAATTCAATAGCAGTAGGTTTTTGGTGTTTCCTATTATGTAAGGTGACTAGGTGAGTTAGAAACATAAAGGTGGATAGCTTAGGAGCAAATTAGCTTAGTTGAGCAGAAAAATCTTCAATGTTTGATCGGGAGCAAAAGTGCTGATATAGTGATGGGTATGTTGCAGAAATATAACACTACGATTTTGGTCGTTTTTTGAAAAATTGAGATCAAATGGAAAAATGATAGAATTTTTTGACTACATTTAGGTATTGCTAATAGAGATACTAATACATGATTTGGATAGAAGTATTTATTACACCAAATGTACAGTTGATGTTCTGAATCGTTTGATTTTGAATCGTATGAATCGTCTAATATATCCTCTATATGCTATGAATCGTTTGATTTTAATCCTCAATGAGATGCCATCTTGGAAACTCGTGATATTCGGTTTATTGAATGATATTTCCGGATACTAGCAATTTGTTCAGTTGTTCCATCACCAAACTCTATAGAGAAATAGAAAATTAGGTGTTTAATGATGATCAGTTATTGAGTATGACTCGTGCTTGCTTAAACAGGGTTTTGTGTCTGTATGTGTGCATGTGAAATTGTGTCACCTATATCTCTGTTTTTGTCACCCAATGACTAGAGAACAAATGTTAGTAAGAGTGATCAGGGCATTTGAATCTAAGAGGTGGTATTGAAAACCTCAAAACAGCACACTTTTCAATGCCTTGTCTCATAAGGCGTATGCTTTACAAGACCCTTACTGAATTTTCAAAGCCTTATGGAATTTTAGGACTGCCTCACCTTGAAAGGTAAAAATCAACAAAGCATAATATTTTATACCTTGGTTCATAAGGCATGTACTTTATGAGGCCCTTGCCTAGTTTTCAAAGCTTCAAGGAGATGATGAGTCTCAATAAAGCTTTTTTAAACTTCGATTAATATCAAATGTGAAGTTGGTGTGCCTGCCCAGACTTTCTTGAAAGGTAGGGTGAAGCTCAGTGTCATAAAGAAATCTTTTCATATACTCTGAATACATGTTTAACTTGATAAACATTAATCCGGCAGGAAAGAAATTGGCAAATATTTTATGCTTAGGCTATCATCCACTGTGGAAATCTTTCCTTCTTTGCACTTATTGTTCAGTATACATGCTATCACTCTGTTCTTTTTTGTTATTTTTTTCGTTTCTTAGTCAAAGAAATGGCGTAGTAGGTGTTGCTTATTGCAACTTGACCCTTTTGTTGTTTTTCCAGGCATTGGATTTGATCAGGGGGAAAAATGTGTTGTTACTGATGGATTCATCCTTGGAAGGACAATATGCAGATGAAGATGCTACTGCATTGGTTGAACTTGCTTCAAAATGCCTCCAATATGAGGCTAGAGATCGACCTGATATCAATTTTCTTCTTACTGCAGTGGCACCCCTTCAAAAGCAGAAAGAGGTGAATCGTTTTCTGAATACTATTACTGAATTGTTTCTCGTCTATTGCAAATCACAATATTGGTGACTTAATACTTTTCTGTGTTGATGCTTTTCCTAAAGTGTTCTCCTCCACATTGCTAGATTGCATCACTTGTTTTGATGGGTCTGACAAAAACTCCAGTGGTGCTGCCAACCATGCTTTCACCTCTTGGAAAAGCTTGTGCAAGGATGGACCTTACTGCAGTACATGATATTTTGCTTAAAACAGGTTATAAAGATGAAGAGGGTGCAGAAAATGAGGTGAGCCAATTTCTTGCTGTTGTATTACTCCACAGGTTGTAGATGAACTTTACATACTCACCAACCTCGTCTGACAATTTAAATAGCTATTTTAGAAACAAAAGAGATATTATAATGTTAGATCGGACCTAACATACTCATGTCATATTGTCCATACCCATACAAATATATATATGTGGTTTTTTTTTCTTTGCTTGATTGTGGTAATACTGTTGTAACGTTATAATCATCCTTTGATCTCATTGTCTTGTCCTTAATATTTTACTTTCCATGCACTTGTTTATGGTTATGTGATCTTTATGAAGCTGTCGTTCCAAGAATGGACACAACAAGTGCAAGATATGTTGAATACAAAGANGTGGTTTTTTTTTCTTTGCTTGATTGTGGCAATACTGTTGTAACGTTATAATCATCCTTTGATCTCATTGTCTTGTCCTTAATATTTTACTTTCCATGCACTTGTTTATGGTTATGTGATCTTTATGAAGCTGTCGTTCCAAGAATGGACACAACAAGTGCAAGATATGTTGAATACAAAGAAATTTGGGGATATTGCGTTTAGGGACAAGGATTTTAAGAGTTCAATTGACTGCTATTCAAAGGTATGCATTTTTTCTTTTTTTTGTGGATTTCTGTACTTTCTTTTAAAAGTTTTATTTTTTGTTGTTTTTTTTTTTGAACCTTTCCCATCTGTGCTGGGTGTTATTTTTTCCTATTTAAGCTTTGTGCATGTATTTACAACTTAATTAATAGATCCATATTTTACGATTAGCTATATTTAGTGTCAGTCAAAAGTATATTCAGNTGAACCTTTCCCATCTGTGCTGGGTGTTATTTTTTCCTATTTAAGCTTTGTGCATGTATTTACAACTTAACTAATAGATCCATATTTTACGATTAGCTATATTTAGTGTCAGTCAAAAGTATATTCAGAAGACTGAATGATTTAGGCATGCTTTAGAGCGAAGGATCAAAATTTAGTTTTGGTTAATTGGAAACAAAAACATTTCGGAAACATTTCGAAAATATTTCCAAAACAACAAGAACAAAGAAAAATTTGGAAATTTGCTCATGAGACATTCCAAAGTGTTGGCCGGAAACGCGAGACATCGGAACATTCCAAAATATGAGAATTTTGATTTTCCAACATTGATTCGTTTTGAAGTGAATGAAACGAAATTTTGATCCTCGTATAGATGCCTAGGCAATATGTATCAANATTTGGAAATTTGCTCATGAGACATTCCAAAGTGTTGGCCGGAAACACGAGACATCGGAACATTCCAAAATATAAGAATTTTGATTTTCCAACATTGATTCGTTTTGAAGTGAATGAAACGAAATTTTGATCCTCGTATAGATGCCTAGGCAATATGTATCAAATGATAAGGTTGTTATGAGATATATATTGAGATAACAAGACCTCTTATTGTCGAGTAGAGGACATATTGGAATGCGATCATATTTCTTTTGGGTGTCAGTATGAGGCATAACTGGTCAGATTTAATTAGTTTAAGACATTTTCTTGATATGAAGTTGTCCCAGCAAGGNGTTATGAGATATATATTGAGATAACAAGACCTTTTATTGTCGGGTAGAGGACATATTGGAATGCGATCATATTTCTTTTGGGTGTCAGTATGAGGCATAACTGGTCAGATTTAATTAGTTTAAGACATTTTCTTGATATGAAGTTGTCCCAGCAAGGAGAGATTAGGGTGACTATATGGCACTAGACTTGTTTGCATTCTTGATTTGGCATGGAGCACAGAAGCTCTATCATGTATCATAAGACTGAACTCTATCTTGTTGGAATGCGATCATATTTCTGTTGGTTGTCGGTATCAGGCATAACCGTTCTGATTTAGTTAGTGTTAAGACACTTTCTCGTTATGAAGTTGTCTCAGAAAGGAGAGATTTAGGGTAACTATATGGCAATGGACTTGTCTGTGTTCTTGATTTGGCATAGAGCACAAAAGCTCTATTGTGTATCAAAAGACTGAAATTAGTTCCCTAATAGTCCCCCTTCAGTTGTGTGTTTATAACATTTATCAGAGTAGGGATTCTGAATTGGGTTAACATGGGATGTTCAGAACTGAATTACAGAATGGGATTGGGAAACCTGAAATTCAAAGAAGACGTTACAATCTAACTAGGAATATAAAGTTAAGTCCCTATTTTGCCAGATAAATTTAACAATACAGCCCAAAAGGGACTGCACTTGCTTACAGGTTATAATTTGCATCCCATGTTTTGAGGGGTTATCGTCAGGTATAGGATATTTTCTTATCCAAAATAAAAATTTAAGGTGATTGTGACTGGGCTAGTTCTAAGTTCAGAGGTCTATAAGATACAGCATTGTCATCAGTGGTTGATAAATTGACAAAATATATAATCCTTGTTATTTTCTGTTACTTACACTTGGGTTTAGGTGGGAATACTTCATTCAGGCTGAGAAAATTGTTTCATGCACAAGAAGAGGAAACATCAGTAAAGCTTTTCTGTCTGTTTGGGTGTTTAAAGTTTGCTCGTGAAGCCCATTTGTGGAATTAAAAATTGTTATTTGACATAGACACCCCTTGAATCTACTTGGAAGTTGCGATTATGATGATTCCATTTCGACTTTGTTTACTAGGTATTATGGTATGAGAAAGTCAGCTTTCCAGGAGTCATACATATGCTATGATCAATGCAAGCGATGTAATTGGGGCCTGTATATTCATCTGATTACGTTATATCCAACCCCCAGCGGAATGTCCTTTGTGCAAGTCTTCGAATATAAATGCTGCATGTTGATAACTTTGCTGCTCTATTCCTGACCTTAGCCACATTTCATTAAGAGGAATATCACGAATGACTTTGAAAGGGAAACAACTGGAGTTGCCTTTCTTGTTTCTTTCACTTGCCATACTTTCCAGTAGTCCTCTATGACCTTTCTGCTCTTGCTTACTTTTCTCTTTTGAATTTGATAGATTTTTATTCCTTTTTCCTCTTAACTACCCTAAAGATTTATACTCAAACTTTGATTTGATTCATTTTTCCAACACAGTTGGTATCATTGATGTCTGTCCCTTCTGGTACTGTGTTTGTGAGGCGAGCCCTCTCCTACTTGATGATTGGCCAACCAGAGCTTGCATTAAGGGATGCTATGCAGTCTCAGGTGTGCTTGCCTGAGTGGCCTACTGCCTTCTACATGCAGGCTCTTGCCCTCTCCAAACTTGGAATGGAAATAGACGCCCAAGACATGCTTAACGATGGTGCATCCTTTGAAGCGAAGAAGCAGAACAGTTGGCGTAACTGATTTATGATTGGCAAGTAGAAAATCCCAGAACCCTGGTACTTATAGTTCCGATCAATACAATGCAAATGGCTGAAAGGAGATTCCAACCTGGGCAAATTTGATTGGTAAATTAATTTAGTTTTTACCCGTCTTGTGCTTGTTTTAGCCATTTCTTCTTATTTCTTATCCATATTGGAATAGTTATATGGCTCGGAAACTAGTCATCGAGTGTATCCATCCGTGCTTTGAGTATGTTCATGAGTCTCCAGTGACTGCTATAGCAAAGAAGAAAGCATCTGTGATTGATGCAGAAGTACATTGCAAGGTAGTATAGTTCAAGCTGTAGTTTTTCTGGAGAGATGATGAATGATCATATGCCAAAGTGATATGTTTCGGGTTTGAGTTTTGAGTCTCTCTCTCTAAAATGTAGATAAAATTGTTTGTCTTGTCTCTCTCCGACCTCGTGATAAACAGAAATCTCTTGCTTCAGGTACAATGTATGTAATGCTCAAAAAAAAAAAAAAAGGGGGTACATCGTATGTAGACCAACCATACCGAAGTTTAACAACAATGGTGCACTGCAGGAGGGAGAGAGAGAGAGAGAGAGAGAGAGAGAGAGAGAGAGAGAGAGAGAGAGAGAGATTTGATCAAAAGTGGTGAACCAAAAGCTAATAGGCTCGACAAAAAAGTGAGGCAAAGTGTTAGGCAGAGACCATCCGTGTCTCGTGCTAATGGACACTGACTCTAAGCATAAATCTTTGATAATTGACAATCTAGCAAACATGTTTGACCAGTGGCAGTGTGACAAACATGGTGTGTCGTAGAAGGGGAGAGAGAAGGGGGGGGGGGGGTTTTAAATCATGATACCGAGAAGTTATTTTTGGGTTTGCCCTGAAATTGACTACTTTTTTTAGGGTAAGCTATAGATTTTTTTTTTAAGTTACAACAAATGAACTTTTTGGATTGATCATGATTTTTGTTTTGGGTTCAACAATTAGGGGTGTCCGTGTCAATTTATGCACATTTTGATTAATTTTTTTCCGGTCTCATCAAAAGCAGATTATCAACATTCGAACTAGGGTATTTATAAGAAATAAATTTTTCATAACATTTTATATCTTGACCCAATAAATTAAATGAAAGGAATCCATTTTGTTCATAGCGGTTACATGGAATTTCTACTATTGAACAAGGAACTAAAGTATTAATATCAAAATTCTAATTCCATCATCTAAAAAGTTTTATTGATGATAGACATTGGCATTCCGAGAATGTTGTCTCGTTATAAGTGTCATCGGTTAGAATTATTTGAAATTATTTACATCTTCTGTCCCTCTCCAGACCCTGTAACAACGTAAGTCAGTCCATTGTGTTGCTATTTTTCATCATCTAAGAGATTTTCACTTGGTATTTCAATGGCTTACGGCTTCTTGTAGCTGATTAGAATTACCTTGACTACTAAGTCCAACCTAATTACAACTTGACGAGAGTCTCCAAATCCCACTACAAAGTCCACAAAAGGGTCTATCCATCACCGAAAGAGAAGACACCCCACTTGTAGATAAAAAAAAAAAAGAAGAGAAAGGGTTAATTACATTGTAAGTCCTCAAAATATGAAGTGTCTTATTTTGATCTCTAATATTTTAATTATACTATTTTAGTCCTTAAAGTATTAAATATGTTTCTATATAGTCCTTCAAGTAGACAACATTCAAATTACTAACTGTTTTTAATCATAAACTTTTCACGTGATATTTAAATATGGGAAAAAAATTATTTGAGTAGCTTTTGACCAAAAATGTGTAATTTGGGTAGCTCTTAATTAAAATTTCGGAAGTTCATGACAAAAAATATGTAATTTGTGTAGCTCTTTAACCAAAAGTTAGTCAAGAGTTATCTAAATTATTTTTTTATCCATATTTAAGCATCACATAACAAGTTTGTGATAAAAAAATCGTTAGTAATTTGAACGTTCTCTGCTTGAGGGACCATATAGAAATACTAGTTATAACCCGTGCCTGAAGGCACGATAAAATATATAATTTGAGTGCCTAAAAAATTAATCTCATTATATTAAATTTTTTTAACATGTGTATACTATTGTATATGAATAGTGTTTGAAATAAAAATTATATTAACTATAAATTAATTAAATATTAAATTATTAAACATATGATAGAAATGAGTGATGTGATATTTGTAAGAAGGAAATATATAAATGATTAAATATGTGATAAAAATGAGTGATGCAACTTGACATTTGAGTCTGACAGAGGGATGATGAGTAAGGTAAGTGATTAGTAATGTTTTGAGGGAGAAANTTAGCAGTTTTCGATAAAATAAAAAACATATTATTCAAATGTAAACTTGTTTACTCTGTCAGCATCCCATATTTTTCATATACCGATCGATCAATCAAAAAATCACTATTACCTCAAAATGTTGTAATGTTTTTGTTGTCAACTCGCAGCAAAACAAATAAATTAATAATAAACCGAAAGCGCGACAAAAATAAAAAATTTCATACTATTCTACATGTCAAAACTCACTCATTACCTCTCTCACCTTTTGGGGNGAGGGAGAAAATATGACTGAGATAAAATTCAAAGTATAAACTCTTTTATTATATAGATATTTAATACTTGAAGGACTAAAATAATGTAATTAAAATATTAAATATCAAAATAAGATAAATTATATACTTTAAGGGTCTCTAGTGCAATTACCTCAAAAAAAAAAAAAAAAAAGCATACAGCCTGCTGACATAATATGGTGGCTGACAGATGATAAGCACTCCACCCCCACCACCTTGACTGATATACCCACAATAAGATATTTCGTTCTGCTTATTGTATACATACATATGATTTGGNTGATTAGTCTACAACAAAAATGTGAAACTCCTTGGTCGATAAATATATCACTATATATATATATATATNGGATTAGTCTACAACAAAAATGTGAAACTCCTTGGTCGATAAATATATCACCATATATATATATATATATATATATATGCTGGTAGGATAGAGTAGAAAGACGAAAATTTTATAGATATTCTGTATTTTTACTTAATTTTTTGTTGAATACCAAAAGATATTCTGTTGGTCTATCCGATTATTTTGGGTAGCCGATCAGTAAGGTCAAGTAGAGTAAGATAGGATCAAAATTTATGAATAATCGAAAATTTGAATACACCTACTTTTGACTAAGAAAATATAATAATAGGGATATCATGGTCCTCAGCCATACAAGAAATACTAGAACAAAAAAGAACTTGTAAGAGAAATATGATTTTCCATTCTATCAGGGCAGGCCAGCATGTGGGGCAGAGATTTGAGAACAATGCATGACCACCNTCAAAATGGTAGTTTAAGTGGTAACAGAGACGAACTGTAAACTCAGACGTTTTGAGTTCAAATCTTGACAACACCTTAACGTTAGGCTATGAGGGATTTTTTCTTCACGAATACCCTAGGGCCGACGTGGGCCACTTTTGATAAGACCAGATAAGGAATTAGTGGTTGAAATATACTTAATCTGACATGAACACTCATGATTGTTAAACTTAGAAAAATTGTTACTCATAAACAAACCAAAAAATTTATATAACAATTTATAAATTTAAAGATATCGTACCAATTTGTTTTTTTAGTATTATAATCTTTTCCTATATATATAAAAAAAAAAAAANCATCAGAACCTAGGCAGTCACTTATTTACTGGTGTTCTCTCTCTCTCTCTCTCGCTCCATGGTTTGCACGATTACTTTTTGGTTTTGTAAGATAATGAAATCCAAGCACAGAAGGAGGGTCTCCAAGTGCTTAATTAAAGGGTTGTGGTGAGTAAATAATGGGTGTAAAGGTGACATTACAGTATTATTGACACGTGATGTTATTATTTAATAATAAACTTACAAATGAGTGAGGTGAATCCTATTTGAGTAGTTATTAAATGACATGACAAGATGGTTAATAGAANCTCACATCATGAGCCACCTTTCAACTTCTCCATCACGATATTTGTGAAAATTTCTACATTAGTTTTGTTGTTTTTTTTGTTTTTATTCATATTTATTTTTATGACATGTTGGCTGGCCAATTGCAAGTATCATTTTTTTAAAGATGAGGTCACATTAAATCCAATCCTACTAAGTAAATCTCGTATATTCACTTACTACAAGTATATGTAAAACTGACAGGACACTGGCGAGAATCAAACCTAAAACGCGCACCATTAAGATGTTTGTGCGTGTTGATNCCAATTTACACCATCAAAGATAGAAATTTGTATCAATGTGTACCTAAAACTAAATGGATAAATTATACCTAAATCCCTTCATGCTTGTCACTTAATCATTTGAACCCCTTCACATTTAGAATATTACTCCTATATCTTATGACGTTTGTGCACATGTAACACGTAATCCCTTTTCATTGGTATCTGTTAATATAACCGTTAAAAAATATGATTTTATTCTAATAAAAAATTATAATTNCACAGGACACTGGCGAGAATCAAACCTAAAACGCACACCATTAAGATGTTTGTGCGTGTTGATTCATTTTAAATGGCTTTCCTCGACGTCGGTTTTCGTTTATGGATGTTCTGAGTAGTTTTTTTTGTTATAGAATGTTTAAATTTGTGTTGACTACTGTCTTGAATTTTGAGTCAATTATTGTAATTCGAGTTAGTTTAAGGACATATCTCCTGGGGAATAAGAGTGACTAAGTTTTAAGAGGTATGACAAGTATCAAACGTGAGACTTCCTATTTAATAGAAGGCAGACTTGACCACTAGATATTCAGAGTAATATGGTACATATATAACCTTGGGAAAGATTGAGGAGGTATCATACCAAAAATCATAATTTTTTTGAGGTGTAAGTTACAACTAAAAAAGACATAATCGATCATGAAAGGTTAGGATCGATACCGATAATTCATGATTAATCATGGGTGTCTGTAATCGATCATGATCTGTCCTTGAACAAATATAACTTATCATTTCGAAGTTATAATTTTTTTTATAAAAAATGGTAATTGGTGATTCAGTATCCAAATATTTTTTTGTTACCTTAAACTTTTCCTGTTTCCTTTGATAATATCTAAGAACATGTGAATGGTCCCATCCTCTCAACAACCCGTCTGTCACCCTCCATTTTTGGGTTGTTCCTGAATTTTGGGTCAATACCATCCAAAATTATTGCATTCACACGATGAATGTTGTCCATACAAGTGGATGCATTCATGATCAATAAACTTTACTTTACGATTTCATCCACGCAACTCTAACATTAATGTCATAACAATGAATATACGAAATGTATTGTTGTAAATATATTTACCGAGAAAAGTATTGATATTATCACATTTTCAATGAATATGAATATTGGACTAGAGGGT